ATATACTACAAAAAAAGCATATGATGATCTACAATGTTACCATTGATATACTTAGATCACCATTTTCACCAATTAATTGTATATTAATTCACTCTTCATTTGGATTATATGTTTGGTGCTTGTTAGATTTGTATTATTTTTTGAGTTCTTTTGTATGATTTTTTTTTCTTATTCATGGTTAGAGGTATGACATTTAATTGGTTGGCATTGTTTAGTAGTAAGTCTAAAGTATTTATGGTAAGTGTTTTATAGCTTTTATATGATCATTTTAGTTTTTCTTTTCTTTCTTTCATAAAATTAAAATATATTATTTTTAATAATGTAAGTTATTCTTTGAGATATACAAATGCTTTATTATATTTGCACATTAAAGTGGTCATTTTTATGTATTATCTTTTAGTTTTCTTGTAATTGATCTTTCAATTAAATTTCAATTGAAGGTACATAGCTAGTTTTTCATTAATTAACTTTTAATAAGTTCACTCTACATTTTCTTATAATAAAATCAATTTTAATTACATTAGAAACAAAAAAAAAATTTTATACATCATGTAAATGCTCGAAAAAGCTCATCTACACTCCCTCCTTGTACTTACACAAAGTTATCTTCGGAATGCGAACAAAATCTCAGTTCGCTCGTGTTCAGTACATCTACACTCCCTTCTATTTACGCCCCCTCCTTGTGTGCGAACAATTTTTGTAGCCAACATAACATCTTAATTGTTCCATGTTATGTCATCACACAATCATGAATGACCATACATTTTGATATATGTTGCATATTTAGAAAAAGAAATAAGTCAAAAAGGCATATAACTACAGCATGATGGGCGTGCACTCCGGTCTCCTTCAAATGGACTATCAGTTTATCACCACCGCCACCAACAACCAACTAACGTCCTTTGAAAGAATATTTAGATTAGTGATAACTAATCATTATTAATGAGTAATTAGAAGACCACAAATTGGGTGGAAGCGGGCCCATTTAACCAAACAATTCAATGTGAATGGGCCGTATGAGTCCATTTATTAAACAACCCACCCACTCAGCACACTCACAGCAGGAAAACTAAATAATAATATTATTAACACAAAAAAGGTGTGTTTACATACATGCCACCCAATTCCTATGTATTTACATATCTAGCAAATAATCTTTAATTTTTACATTTATACCATCCAAACCCTTCATGTTCCATAAAAATTAAAGTTTAGAAATTGGATACGTAAATACATAGGAATTGAGTGCTATGTATGTAAATCTCCCACGAAATAACAATGCATTTTATAGCTAATTTTATATTCGCCATTTATTTTTTTGGGCATTTACATACATACTACACAATTTCTATGTATTTTAAATAACCCCTAAACTTTGATGTTTATATTAGTTCCACAAATATATTTCATATCACAACAAACATACCACAAGTCTAATTTATTAAAAAGTCAAATATATATTTTTTATTAAGATAGCATATATGTAAAAATTATGTATATTTTGAGTCATGATTTGTTTATTGTGCACACAAAAATGGTCTTCATGAATCTCGAGACAGTTTAACGGTCAGAATCACGTACTAAAAATTATAAGGCATAATGAGTTTGACCGGCTGAAGACCACCAACCAACTAAAGGGCTAGCGATCGACCGAATGGTTGTCACTCGACTCAAGGCCAGTCAAACGATCAAAAGGCCACTCAGGTCAACAAGTGACAAGCATCCGCGACAACTACCAAACAAAAGTTTCAACCCCCCAACAAGCTCACAAGTATCTATTTGAGGCTCTCTCAACAGCTCTCACAAAGATCTCTAGAAGTCACCAAAGAATAATTATCGGGCAAGTCGAACGGATACCTAAAGGTCAACAGGCTGCCACACTCAAAAGCGATTGACTTCCCAAAGCAAAGGTCGACTGGTGCCCCGATAAAATAGCCGACCACACCAATTTGATTGGTCGGCCCAAGGACCGCGTGAGCCATACAAAAAAAGTGCTTGAATCAGTTATAAATACAAAAGATCAAAATAAAAAAAAATAATAACATGTAACTCCCCTATTAAAGTAGGGGCAACCATGTAGGTTTATGCATTTGACCATCTATCTCATATAAATAGGAGGTTCATAGCATATATTATTGGTCTTTAGCTTCTCTAGGCTCTTTAAGCTCTTCTCTCTAGACCCATCATGTAGGGAGAGGTCTTTTCCCTTCTCACTTGTAATCCGAGCTACAATATACAAAGTGAGTTAGAGAGCTTGGGAATATCACAGTTCGTCTTTGCAATGCAAGTCTATATGTGCTATTTCATTCTTTCTCTCTTTCTGTTTATCTCTACCTCGCCCTTAAGATTTCTACCACTTTGATTATTCAGCATGCCTCACATGCTAAATATGGATTCAATATCCCAAGAAATAGAGTGTTACTAAGGAGAGAGAGAGAGAGAGAGAGAGAGAGAGAGAAAGTGTGAACAACAATGAATAGTAATTTGTTGTATTGATTGTCTTATTCATGTAATTTTTCTCCTATTTATAAAGAATATGATTTAATAGCATGAAGTTATATTTTTGCCTCAATTAAATGAGTATTTACCAGAGTATTTTTGATATTTTACATACGTAGGTTTGTCATTCGACTGCTTTCTGATTGAATAGGCTAGGCTTAACAAGTTTCGGGTTGTCAAGATCAGCTTGGTCGACTAAGCTCAATCATTATGGATTAGCTAGGCATCTGAGCTTCCTCGATATGGATTGACTGAGTCAATTTGACCTGTTGCCAATCTTTGACCCGGATGAGGAACCTATAGACGTCTTTGGGATGATTGGAGATGTTAGGGAGCCAGGTCTTCCCTTCGATTAGCTCTTGTATGGCGACTGACTTTCACAACAGTTCAATTTGTTTTTGACTGGGTGTCTCGTTTTTATATCCTCCAGCCATTTTTGGTCTGTCTTGTGGTTCGATTAGGTTTTGGCATTGACAACTTGACTCAGACGACTTCACTTGGTCTGATAAGTAAGTCTCATGATCATCTCTTAGTGGGCCCATTTTCATTGTGTTCTTCCCTTCCTACCTATTAGATCTCCTCATGATCAGTGCTGACACATTTCTTATATACATTATATAAATATTTTTTATTTTTATGTACTTAATAAATAATTAAATATTTTAAGCAATAAAATTAATGCATTCTATTCAATTATCCCCTTGAACATGATCAAAATGTTAAAAAAAAATTGGGGTTAACATCAAAATTCGACTTATAATATGTACAAATTTAATTTATCATAATAATAAAAAATATCACATAATTTTTAGCTGCAAATTAAATAGTGGAAAAATACTTACATCAAAATAATTTCGGATTTTTTAATCAAAATTAACCCTTAAATTTTTAAATTTATCTTTGAAATAAATGCAATGCATTATCTCAAAATATATCTATGAAATCAATTGTTAGTAAAAAAATATTCTTTTTTTTAATGTAATTTCATTATCATGTTCATTAGCACTACCTAACCATTCTTATTTTATTATTCTTTCACATTTATGCCACTAAAGTAATGTCGCTAAGAAAATAAAATATCTTGAATATTCAAATTTTATGGATTTTATTAATTTCAATATTTAAATAATCTATATAAAATAAGAAAAATAGATATCTACATACAAACCACACAATTTTTATATATTTAATTATCTAATACCTAAACTTATTCATGTAAATATATATATGACACGCGTCGGCTTTCTTTTGGACTTGCATCCCTGTATCCAGGATTGGAACAGCCAATCACGTGACCGACCGTTGCTGTCCTCAATGAAAATGAGACAGAATGTGGGCCCGCAAAATAAAACCAGCAAGTTAGGAATTACATGCCACAATGTCCACACTCCGCTACCTATGTATGAAAACTATATATTTCACTTATTTTTAAGTTAGAATTGTTATATTTTAAATGTCATATGCAAATTTTGTGTAACAAAAATTATTATGCCCTTAAATCTATTCAAAATGAAGATTTTGCTATCAATTTTTTTAGATTTGCCCGTTACTATATGGGAGAAATTATTTTGTATGGACTCGCATATAGAGATGTATGCGGTGTCTGATTTCTACCGTCTATTATTGCAATCAAGAATTAAAAAAAAAAAAGGTTGAAAGTAGGGCTCACCGAAATAAATGTGCATTTGCATAAACACCCATATATATATATATATATATATATATATACACACACACATTATTAATATCTCACCTATAAATCAAGATAACCCATCTAAAATAATTAATTTATTTCTAAATAAATCTTGAGATATAAAAAATATATATGAGACCAAAGCATCTTAATTATAAGAAAAATCTCTTATTTCAAATAAAAAATTAATTAAAAAAAAGATATTTGACAAAACATAAGAGGCCAAAATTTAAGTTGTGAATATTTTATAGAAAAATAAAATTTGCATTGTCAATGCCATCTACCTATTATCATAATTAGATATTATATTCACCCACCACCACCACAAAAAAGTAATGAGAATGTGGCCTTCAACTATTGCATTTTTTTATATTTTAATTTGACTAATTCGTAGGTACCATATCCACAAACACTACACCAAAAAGTAATTATATAAAATAAATCAAAATGTGATTTGATTACCTTAAATATGCAAATATTATAAGTCCATATCAACAACTACAACACCATAAGCAAAGATAGATTGAGCGAGCATGTTTGGTATAGCTATACTTTTTTTAAAAAATCAAACTGCAGCTTTCATTCGATCACCGCAATTTAACAGATTAAGTTGAAACAAATAGTTTCACGAAGCAGAAATTTATAAAAAACAACAAGAAAACAATTCCTCAAACAGAATTGGGAGGGCGGATTGAAACTCAGAACAGACAGAAAATTATCACAAACAAACCGTGAATCCTACAAATAATTCACAACATATTACCACATTTTACACAAGATAAAAGCAGCAGCCAGCAAAACCATTTTCTGACAAATAAAATAACATGACAAAAAAGTACATAATTTGAATCAAACAAGTTGAAATATACAACAAGGAATGTTTTTAAGTATGACAACTATGACTTTAAATGACAAAATATCATCTCCATGGGGTGAACTGAAAAGCTAACATTCTGTAATAATCTCACACACCCACTTCTTCATAACTTAAATTCTGCAACGGCTATATGCTTGATTACCCTTATTCTCTCCCCCATTTTTCTTAATTCCCAACATTCTATACAAAAATGAATCTTTTTATTTGCAGAGTATTTGATAAAGCTAGCATACATCAACATCTTCATCTCAAACATGCATCATATGTACCAGCTCCGAGCTAGAATCCAACAAAGCTCATTTTGATGGAAATGGAGGGAGGCATTCTTGTGGGTTGGCATAGAAGTAGTCCTCTTCCTTGGGACGATCCATCACTACCGTTCTCCACGTAGGTTTTCCGGTGAGATTCACATGAGCAGCCTTCACCGATGAAGAAAACTCGTTCCAATCCATGGATCCGTTGTTGTACCTATCGATCAATTCGACAAGAAGTTTTCGATCCAACTGGAAGGTTTTCTTGTAGCCCAAGTATCTGAAAAGAAGAAAAATACCAAAATCACTATTTTTTAAAAAGTGACAATCACCTTTTTCATGCATAGTTTTACAACACCAAGGTGTTATCAGTGTAAAAATTAAACTTTGGTATTATACATATAAAGTACATACGTAAAATACCTGCGGTGACCTTCGACAACCTTAGCCATATTACCATCATAAGTAGGAACAAAAATGTCGCTCTCCAATGATACCAAATAGTCTAATGCCGCCATTTGCGAGGAGTGATTCTGAAAGAATTTGAGATCAGAGGGCTCCAGCAATGTTTCCTTTCTCACCTATAAATACCAACAATTAAAATGGCAAAAGCACAAATTAGAACGTTAGTTATTCAAGATTTGCATAACTGACCACATTAGGAAAAGCTGAATTTAGTGCAGCCATTCTTCTAGATCCACCATATATTTCTCCTGCAGCAATGTATATAGTGGTGCTGCCATTAATATCCAAAGCTCTCAATACAAGAGCAATCTCTTCTGGTGTTAAAGGGCAGAGACCATCCTTCCTTTTCACATCAGAGTTTATAATTTTTTCCTTCCACCAAGGGTAAGCATATCTGCATAAATAAGCTCAAATTTTCAAAATTACCAAAAAAAAAAAAATACTAGAATTTCATGACAAACCAAGTAAGAGATCAAATGTTAGATGGACCTCATTCGAGTTAACTCATTGGCTTCTTCGTCGGTGCAGCCGTGCGTACAGCCTGAAAATGCAAGCATGTCCATTTCATAGCGGAGGTGGAGGACGAGAAACGGGCCATTTCTTTGAAGCAATTCGATCACTTTCCGACCCAATTCTTCAATCTGAGGGGTGAATCTAAGTGCGGAATAATTCACCCTGCAGCGAAGTTTCTGTATCTTCATAGGTAATCCATTATTTGAGAGCCTGGCATCAGTCCTATTCAAATGTAAGATCTTGTGCTTCTGTATCAAGGGCAGAATCTGCAAAAAAAAAAAAAAATCATTCCTTGAATCTTCAACATGCCACCAAAGCTTGATAAACCAATAAATTTGCAAACCGACCTGATTTTTGTAATAAGAAAGATCAGACCAGCTAACAGGAGGCATGGAATAATACAACCCCAGCTCCACTCTAAGCTTCAATCTTGGTGGGAGCTCTTTCAATATCCTGACTTCATCCCTCAATGAAGTAATAAAATGGTCTACATCAAAAATGTCTTCAAATTCACTGCCACATATTAGTTTTCTTCAGTTTCTATAAACTGTGAATGTTCCCACAATCTTCAAAATATATTCAGAATCAATTAAAAAAAATACAAAATAAGCTTTAATTATTTGTATGAACTAACCTCGGATCATTCCAAAATGATGTTTTATCTAACTCTGGTACGATGAGGGTCACATTCAAATATCTTGCAATAGCAGCCATATCGCATATCTGCCATGAATTTTTATGATTTGTAAGGTGATTTAGGAGCTTGCAACCATGAGAATAGAATGGTAGAAGCTAAAAATGAAAATTTTAAAGGTTTCAATGAATACTGCAGCTCGCATTTGGTTTAGTCCGCCGTTGCAGGAGACAATCAAGTATCCATTGTTCTTATAGATTCCTAAAGAAAAAAAAAAAGATGAATTTTCCAAAAATATAAGATTTTCCAAAAATATAAGAAGAGAATATTAGAATCTGATAGAGTATAATTTAACTGCCGTGCATAGCTACTCTGCCTTAAACTACAAAAAAACACGACAAAAACTCCTAAAGCCATCCATACAAAACCTTTCAAGCATCCGTCAAATCTACTAAACAATTAATACAAATGATATGAAAACGAAAAAGGAAAAAATTGCAATAAAAAAGTTTGAATCTGCAATTTTGCACCAGGATGGAATTGAAACTTTTTAACTCGTAGTTCATGAAATTCAATTTCACCCTAGATGAATGATCTAAATCTTTCTGTTTCGAATTTTCAGAGGAAAAAAGATAAAGATGAAAATAAGTTCATTTCCCAATCTATCAATAACCGCTCCCACAGAATCACAATCAACAATCAGTTTCCCACAAAAACCAATAACAAAGAAGAATCCATGCAAAAGAAAGCTGCTCACTCTTGGGAGGAAGAACAATCTTCCGTGCAACAATGGAGTCCGACTCGTAGATTCCCACATGATCTGAAGAAGTAAAGCAGGAAGGCCAGCCGTTGAAAACCCTAGGCCCCCAAAGCTCCCTCAGCGCCGTAAGTTGCACCAAACACGTCCACAGCAGCACCGTGGTGGTTGCTCTGATCATCCAGAGCTTCATCCTCGACCTCACCACCACAACACCCTTAAACTTTTCCACCGCCGCCATCTTCCCCATTTTCCTCCCGCAGTCCTCAGATCTACGCGGAGAACTCTCCGCTCTGCACATCGCCGAAAACCCTAACGCCTCCGCACGAATTCATAGCAACTTCAACCCCCAATCAAAGAAACATAAATTCCCCTCTTCACCTCTCAATCTTCTTCGCCAAAACAAATCAACAACATCTCTTCACGTCCTGCTCTCTATTTAATCGAGTACTAGCAATGCAGCTTCACAGGGAGAGCGATTCCCCTTCGAACCGCAGAAAATCGTGCACAAAATCACCAAAAAATATTTAAACAACCAAGGAATTGAGCAGCACCGATTGATCAGAACAAAAAACTTGCGAAACAAACTATTTATAAACGCTCCCCGCGTTCCTCCACCCTAACAACAGCAATCCGCTCCCAAGAAAACTTTGAAAAATCGGGAATAATGGTATGTAAAACCGCTTCTTTTAGGTCAAACAGAACGAGATTAATGGCTTCCAGAGACCTAGGTCAACTTCAGAGCTCGGGCGGGCCGAGACTCGGCCTGCGCAGCTCTGCCCTCGCGATTTATCGTCACCGACGACGAGGGGAAGTGAGCCTTCGTTCTCATTGCGCGTCGGTGGAGGTACTTGTGAACATCGCCACCGTACATTCCCAGCACTAGCACTAGCGTCGATCTTGGCCGTCCATTCCACAAGCCATGGTTGGGCGGGAGAGAATGAGGATTTGGTCATTGGATTAGGTTTTACTAGTATAAACCACGTGCTTTGGAGGTAAATTAAATTTGAACAAACATATTTCTTTCTTTTATTTTTAATAAGATATGGAATTTGACTAAACATTAATCAATTCATTTTTTAGTTCCATTCTTATTAAAAAAATTATCTTTGACATTAATTTCTTCCAAAGTGTGAATTTGATTTTTTATTTAAATAAATATTTATAATTCTCATTAATTTTTTTAGGAATTTATTTTTAACGCAATAATTTAATAATTGCTACATGTAGAAAAATTTGTAGTAATTGAATGATAATTTTAATATTTTAGCATTGTATGAAGAGCTAGCACATGAATAAATAATATAAATTTAATATGAGGAGATAATAAAATTTTTTTCGTGGAAAAACCCTCAAAAAGAGAATAAAACTACAGGTATTAGCTCAGTCAGTAATTCACTATGTTATTGTAAATACATAGATTCACTATTCTTTTTAATTAAAAAAGATAGAATTCCAATGTTGATAATTCATATGTATAATAGTGGTTCAACGGTAATAGTTGTGATTGGGTTATAACAAATATGGTTCTTGGCAATAACAGCAATGGTGGGCTGCAAATGTCGTAATTGATTGTTATAAATGCAATAGTTTATTATAAATGTTGTGGTCAATGATTGCAATAGCATCAGTTGGACACATAGATTATAATTAGAAGTTGTAATAGCAGATGACCACATGAGTCATAATTAGTCATATAGATAGTACTTGATAACTATATCAATGTCTGTTAGATACATATATCGTTGTTGAAAGTTGAAATAGCAATTAGTCACATAAGTTGTAGTTGATCGTATTAGGCATAATATGGAAAACTACAATAGTAACTGACCACTTAGATAGTAGTTCATAGCTACAAAAGTGTTAGTAGGCCACATATATCACAGTATGAAGTTACAATAACTTGTGGCTACAACCTCTTTTTTTGTTCAATATTATACAATTAGAAACATCACTTGTTGATATATGACATAAAAAGAGTTTTAGGAGTTTGGAGAAAGCCTTCGTATTCTACATATGGCGGTCGAAAGTAGTTCTCTCCGGGAGTTATCAGCGAATAATCGATAAGGCGTTGTTCGTTACGTTATGTTCGGGAAACACCATTACACCGTATTTGGAATACGTCTTACACACAATATTCATGATACATTATTAGAAAAAATAGCTACCAAGGAGTCTTTAATGAAGTGAAGATAGATGGTCTATGGGAGGGGCATTTTAGTCCTTTGGGAATAACATAACCATCTAGTTAGACAGCTCACATTGATCAATCTTTGATTATAAAAGATATTTTGATGATTCGGAGGTCTTAATAATCTCAAAATTATGATTTTGGGCTTCTAGCATTTCTCTTGTAAAGTCGCTCGATTCAATTATATATATATCAAGTTTTGAGTTCATTTAATCATTCAATTAACATTTTAAAGCCTTCAAATGTGATTTGATGACTGGAACTGGACTTAATTAGGCTTAGATCAAGCCAATTTTCATATCATCAAGTTCGTCTCATACACAGTCATTATGATTATAAATTTATTGAAATCGAGGCCTTGTATGATCATGAATTTGAATTTAGAAAAATTTATTATACAAAAAAATACCACGTCATTCGTGTTAGAGGATAAAAATTTGTCGATGACGCATCAACAATCATCTTCGTAAAAATTAAAAAAAAATTAGTCTCCACATAATAAAATTAGTAAAATGTGATCTTTAATAAATAAAATGATTATATCAGACCCAGACATAAACATACAAATAATAAAGGAGTGATTTAAAGATAGCTAAATAAATAATTGCACAGGAAAATTAAAGTCATCTTTACATTTTTTTTTTCAAAAAGCATTAATTGTCGATAGGCCTTGGAACGAAGTCAAAATAAATTGATCAATTATGACAAAGAATATATGCACCGAACTATACAAAATCGAAAGCGATATATATATATATATAGTTTATATATCTTCTTTCTCAAAAAATCAAAAAAAAAAATCTTTCATTAAAAAATTACATAATATTGTTTCACATATTTACACATCTAACACCTAAATTTTCATGTTACATGCGCAGCATTCACATATTTAATATCACATCAAAATATCATTATTATTAACTTCTAAAATGTAAAAAATAAAATCTTAGGTGTTGGATATTTGAATGGATCAAAATTATGTGATGAGAATGTAAATCTTTGAAAATTTCAAGGAATTTATGAATGTTGATGTGTCGCCAACAAATTTTTATCAAGCACAAATTTCCATGCACTTTTTTTATAAAAAAAAAAGCTTTCAAATTTAAATTTAAGGTCTTCCGGGCCTCAATTTCAGTAAGCTCATTGTCAAACTGATGTCTGTGGAAGACGAACCCATCAACTCTAAAATTAGTTCAATTTGGGTCCAACCAAGCCGATGAAGCAAAGTTGGAGGCTTTCGGTCATTAATTGAAAGGTCAAATGAACATAAACTTTGATATATTTATAGTCAATTTGAGCGTCTCGATGAAAGAAATCTAAAGGGCTTAAGATCACTCAATTTCGAGGCCATTACGACACCCAAATTCAAAAAGAAAATATTTATTGTTGAGGGGACTAGCAGGGAACGTGTAATAGTCAAATTCAAGTTGATTAGGGAAGTTATGCACTAAATGACCAAAATATTCTCTTCCCCAAAAAATTGTAAATAAGCCCCCTTTCTTCACTAATGGAAAGAGAAAGAAAAAGAAGTGAAATTCAAGAGCTTGTTCTCCATAGAAGACCGGAGAAATAACCACCAGTCTATATAGCAACCAACTTGATCACCGCCAGCCGACCACTATAAATCGCCCCTATTCGCTGCTTGTAATTGTTATAGTCAAATTATGTTGTTGTGTCTAACACTTGTTTTTTTCTTTATGACTTATAATTTTTGATGTAAGATTGTAACATCTTTTTTCCTGTCTTCAGAGATGGGTGGAATGACGTGCCTAACAATCTATTGTTGATTACTTTGATTGGGCTAGGTTTCGCAGTCTCTTCCCTTACAAAGTTCTTCCACGTAAAAACATATTGTCTCCTCCTGCTATTTTTCTTTTATCTCTATCCGCATTGATTCTTCATACAACTCTAATACATTAAATTATAATTCTACTACCATCAATTTTTATATATGTATATATATATATATATATATATATAATTTAGGTCTTAAATGTCTTAGATATGTAAATATATAAAAATTGGATGATATCTATGTGAAAGCTCATTTTTTATCTTAAAGGAATGAGAAAGAGCAGAGGCATTCATTGCTGTAATGAAGACTGGAATTTGAAAAGAACGTGTGTGGGAGTTGTACAACGTGGGGCAATTAGCTTGCTTCTTTATTTTTAAGATATTTTATTTTCTTTTATAGACGCGCTGAGTAACTTTTGTTAATAAAAAGAAAAATTGAGAAAAATTCAATTTTGAAAACCAGCACAAAATATCATGCCCAAGCTCATTTCAGCTCTAAAAATCATTTATAAAAAACGTGAATGCCAACATGATCTTGAACTAAGGGTCTGTTTAGGGCAGCTTGTGGGTTTCATGATGATAAGCAACTTATTCTGAAACGCGGCCAGCAGGTTGACCCTCTGCGTTTAGTGTAAAATACCTAAATGTGGCAGACAATATTTTCAAAAACGCGCAAACTAAGTGGTTCGGTGGCATTTTTAAAAACGCCGCCGCACTTATAAGCTGCCCCAAATAGACCCTAAATTATGTTTGGAATGTTGTCAGAAATTAAAATAAATTTTTTTAAGGATCGAAATTGCATCTCGCATCCATTTACAGGTTCAAATGGTCTTTAAAACTTGTTCAGTGCAAAAATTATATTGTAGTAAAAGATGAATGCTTTATTTTAATATTATATGAAAGTTCATGCAAATATAAAAAAGAGTTGAAGCTCACAATGAGGGAATGAATGATTTTATGTGAAAAGATTGAGAGGGGAAATCAAGTGTTAACTTAATTAAAACATTCCATCATATAAAGCGAAAATTTCAAAAGTTAGCCCTAAACATTTAACTAGAAATAATGAGATCATAAATTTTGGGTCATAGCTTGAGGAGAGTAGTCAAAAATATTGAAAAAATAACAAGGGATGGCAGGTCCGACTATCATGAATGACTTGTAAGGGAAAACGGGTGATGATAGTCAAGCAACGATGGTTGTGAGATCAATGATGTCGAAATTAGTTAATGGAGAAAGTCATGGCAAGCACTAACATCGGATGACAAAAGAGCAACCACAATTAGACAAATTGTGGGATTTAGGATTTGTTGTCGAGTTGAGCTTTCTCATTCTTCGAATTTGTGAATTTCCTTCACCAACATTTTCTTAGTATGGAATTATTTCGGATTATGGTGATTTATCTTTTACTTGATAGCCTAGCTTCATTCTAATCACAGAAGCATCACCTAAGAGGACAAAAGTCGCCCGCAGACCAAGGCAACCGAACAACTTACCAAGCAAAGATCCGAACAACTGAAAGATAATTCAAGTCGACCGATCATCCAAACCTAGCATAGCCTGTTAAACGAGCCTTACTGATATAATGATTGTCAACCTCAGCGACCAAGTGGTGGAGCTGTCGAGCTGAAGACTTTTTATTTACTTATTTATTTATTTGTTTGTGACTAAATTAACCTATAGCCCCCCTATTAAAACAAGGACAAGCATGTAATTGCACCTCTTCTACCCTCTTGCATATAAGTAGAGGGATCATTTCTACAGTAAAAAAGTTAATCAATCAGAGATCAACTCTATAACAATTCTACTCAATTGTGATATCTCTCTCTCTCTCTCTCTCTCTCATATTGTTTCTCCATTCGTTGGGTGTGATTCAAACGATAGTTTCGGATTCAAGAGTAA